CTTAGTGATGCCAAAAGGTTTACTTCAGTCTATTAGCAAATGAGTGGATAATATGAAGACCTGAACTCAAGTCACCAATATTGTCAAGCTGCCTTGGCAAACTTCCTCAGCTCCATACTTGAAGTGCCACCATCCCCCCCGACCCTACCTCCCACCCCCACTGTCAGATCAATATCATCCTGGCCAGAATTCACAGGCACACAAACACACAGAAGAGAAGAAAGGAAAAACCATCTCCCCACCACTCCCTTTAACCATCTAAAGTGCAAAGTTAAACAGAGGAAAGAATGCACATTCAGAGGTGGCAGGGGAAAAAAAGTGAAACTAAATATTACGTTAGCTTAATTTAAGGCAGCTGTTTAACCTATACGTTAGAAGACAGAGAAATAGTTTGAATGACAGAAAAGAAGCAGATGGACTAAATAAGAACATGTGCTTAAATAGTCAAAGGTCATCAGTATCTTAACATATGTAAGCCAATGATAAAAATGGAAATAAATGATAAGAATAGTGTAGAATTTTTTTGTAAGAGAGAATCTCCTTCCCCTGAAATCCAACCCCAGCCAAAGAAATTCCTAGTATTGGAAGTTCTCGAATACAGTCCATCTATGAGAGACTAAACTCTACAAACTCCATTAGGGCCATAAAACCCACGTTTACACAAGACAAATATTACAATCCAACCATGCATAGGACTAGACAAGAGATCAATAATTTAAATCAATTCTTTAAAGCAGTTATTAAAAATCCTTCTCTAAAAACAATTATAAATATCAAAGCTCAAAGAAGTCTAGCTTGAATACTGAAAACTAACAAACATCCACAACATAGATTTTTGAAAGCAAGTGAGGATAATGCAATTGGTCTTGAACTTTTCATCCTCAATAAGCTATTATTTTAGCTCTTAGATTTTTGCTTCTTTCTGTGGAAATGTACTCAAGAATTCAAATAATTACCAGGCTTTCTGGAACACTAAATTCAATATAATTTTTTTTAAAAAAAAGCCCTCCTAATTTATTTTTCAATAAATATTTGTACATGACAACTGAAGTAAGACTTTTCAAAAAAAATTTAATTATATACTGCTGCAAACCAGAGCTGCAGGTTGAGGAGACAGTTTTAAATGGAACTTCAAAAGCAAAATTCACAATGATGAATGTGTCAAGTCAAATTAAAAATCCACTCAGGCTAATTGGATACATTCATAATGTATTAAACTTCCAAAGATATTCTTATGAACCTTTCCTAATTCCACATTCACACCCATGCATGGCTGCACTTCGGATGTACTCGTATTTTGATGCCATGTAGGTTATCACGCTCAATAACTTTCCATCTCTTGGGAAGATTGGAAGATGAAAGGAAAGGCAGAGTTACAGTCGGTAAACACTTTAGGAAAGGAAGCAAAAATAAGGAGGTATGGAAAATTTGCATGGAATACAAAGAGAGGAAAGCATTTTCCCTCGCAAATAATAGATATCTTAGCACGAGACAATCACTGTGAAAACCTAATATATACAAAGAGCAACTTAAACCATAATGCTCCCAAAAGGAGAGACAGACTGGGTCTGAGACTAAGACTTACACACACACACACACACACACACACACACACACCACGCAAAACACACACGCAACACACACGCAACACACACATACACATGCATACCACACACACTGAGAGAGAGATGGGGCTTGAGCAATAGCACAGCGGGTAGGGCGTTTGCCTTGCATGCAGCCAACCCGGGTTCAATTCCCAGCATCCCATATGGTCCCCCGAGCACTGCCAGGAGTAATTCCTGAGTGCATGAGCCAGGAGTAACCCCTGTGCATCGCCGGGTCTGACCCAAAAAGCTAAAAGAATAAAGAGAGAGAAAGAGAAAGAGTGAGCGAAAGAGAGACAGAGAGAGAGAGAGAGAGACAGAGACAGAGACAGAGAGATCTGAGAGAGAGAGAAAGTGCCTGCTATAGAGGGATAGAGGTAGGCTGGGGATGGTGGTGGCGGGAAGGAAACGGAACAATTGGTGATGAGAAATGTGCACTGGTGGAGGGACAGGTGTTGGAACACTGTGTGACAGACACCAGACCATGATCATTCTGTATCTCACAGTGACTCAATCAAAAAATAAAACAACATGCAAGTTGTCAGATATTGAAAGAAAAAAAAGTCCTGAATACTTTTTCAGATTGATTCAGGGAGGGTGACCACGCAATGGGTCACATTTCTACAGGCAGGCGAGCAAGGGGAGGGCGCTCGGGCAGCACAGCGTGGCTTCGAAGGCGACGTCCTGTGAGCAGCACCATGTGCTTGGCAAGCAGACGGACAGGACACTACACAGCTGCAAGGAAGAGGAAGTCATGCAATTTGCTGCAACCTTCTTGGAAGGGAAGAGCTCATCCTGAGTGAAGTAGGCCAGAGAAAGAAAGGCCAACACAGGATGATCTCATCAGGGGCGTACAGAATGAGTGGATGAAGAAATGCACTGGGGTAAAGAGGGAGGCCGAGGTCACCCTTGACTCCGGAGTTTAGGGAAGAGAAACACAGAGCAGGAAAAAAATCAAGGGCGGGGGGTGTGGGGTGGGGTTGAGAATGATGAGAAAGGGAAGTGATGTGGGAATGGGGGTGTTGAGGCTTCCGTTATACGGGCGACGAGGGAGAGCGGTACAGGCTCAGCAACACCGAAAACGCAGAATCTAAGCTGCAACCACCGGCCTCTGAAACCTGCCGGCCAAGGCTGCAGGTGGGGGAGGAAGGGCGGGGTGCTGGAGAGAGGGGACACGGGGTGGGGGGGAGGGGGTGGTGTTCAAACACTGTCTGCCTAAAACTCAACTATCAGACACTGTCACTCTCCTCCCGTTGTTCATCGATTTGCTCAAGCGGGCCCAGTAACGTCTCCATCGTGAGACTTGTTGTTACTGTGTTTGGCATATTGAATATATCACGGGGAGCTTGCCAGGCTTTGCCGTGTGGGCGAGATACTCTCGGTAGCTTGCCGGGCTCTCCGAGAGGGGCGGAGGAATCAAACCCGGGTCTGTCGGGTCGGCCACGTGCAAGGCAATCGCCCTACCACTGTGCTATCACTCAGTAATGTTGTAAATTATGATTCTTTAATTGAATTAACACTTTTTTTTTTTAAATGAAACCTGACTATCAGAGGTCTTGCTCTAGTTCAGCGGACTGGGCACATGCATTGCACGCAGCTGACTCTGGTTCAATCCCCCACATTCCAGCCTTGTAGGAAGAGGCCCTGAACAATACCACCAGGTGTGCCCTCAGCCCCCAAGGAGAGAGAGAGACAGACAGACAGACAGACAGACAAACAGAGACAGAGATAGAGAGACAGAGAGAGACAGAGATCAAACTGACAGCAGGAGGGGAGGAAAAGAGTTGCCTGGGTTCTGCTTATTAGATGTAAACCTGGGGCGCAGCCCGAGAAGGAGGGCCTCTCAGTTTCTTCCTTAACTCTGTACATGGCTGCCAGGCACAGCTGTCTGGATTGAAGACTGTTCACACAAGGGGGTCACTGTTCTGACGCTAAGGTCACCTCCGTACGGACCGTGGAAAAACAAGCATAGAGTGTGCACACAAAAGTCTCAAGAGCTCAAGACTCCACAAATAAACGGCGAGGGCATTCCTTGGAATGACAAAAGCAACCTCAGTGCCGTCCCTCCTAGGCCAAGACTGACTGACTACGCCGGTGAGGAGCTGTTCCCCACATCGCAGGGCGCGGGCCGGAAACGTTGGGGTGCAGCCTCTCCCCCTTTAAGGGAGCTCCTGAGGACATCTGCTCCACGACTGCGGGCCTTTTCTCACCATTTCCCACAAATACCCTCCGCCTGTTTAGCCTGCGCCCAAAGAATGTTTAGTCTTGACAAAAGGAGATGCTCAGGGCCAAAGACAACATCAAAGCCTTCGGTCCCACCTCTGCAGAAATACTTGTCTGGTGAGGAGATAGGCAAGGAGCCAAGTTGCAGGAGGACTTTTTCCCCCCTTGCGTAAGACACACACGGCTGCCCAAGGCGAGTCGCTGTTCGCCTGCCCCCTGCCTGCGCCTAGCAGCCCCGTCAGAGCTGGACTGTGAGCCTGTCATGCTTTCCCTCCCCTGCTCTGTGACTGTCACACTGGACTTGGGGACAGCCACCAACCAACCAGGCGATTTTTCCAGCAAGACTTGTTAGCTCTTTCCTCCGGCATCCTCGCGCCGCCGGCACAGTGATCTGAGCGGCAAGCCAGCTCCATCAATCATGCTCAGGGACTGGGAGAGGGAAGGAGAAAACGCGAACCATATGTGACAGCCCCGCGGTCCTCCCCGTGACGGCATGGAACTAACTGGCTGGCCATCTGTGTGGTGCGGTGCGCCCAGCCCCTCTCTGCGCCTCCCACCTGCCCCCATCCATCCTCTGCCTGACCGAGACCTCCTGAGGTCGACCCCTGGACAGAGATGGCAGGACTGTTAACTGCATCAGCTACGATGTTGCTCTCTGCCCTCCAGCTGTGCTCAGCCAGTGTGAGGTCTGAGGGGGGTGTGAGGGGTGGAGGAGAGGGCATGGCGGCACCCGAGCCCCTGCTCCTTCCACCAGGCCCACCTCCTCCAGCCCCCAGCCACTTTTCCTCCCGTGCCCCCTCCAGGCCCAGGTGCATGGTCCTGGCTTCCGGCCTCTGCTGATCCCTGTTGGTTCCGGTCACCCTGCCCCCCTCCCTGTGAATAATCCCTTCGGGAGGCTGGATTGATAGCACAGCGGGGAGGGCGGTTGCCTTGCACACGGATGACCCGGGTTCAATACCCAGCATCCCATATGGTCCCCTGAGCACCGCCAGGAGTAATTCCTGAGTGCATGAGCCAGGAGTGACCCCTGTGCATTGCTGGGTATGACACAAATAGAAAAAAAAAGAATCCCTTCGCCAGACTCTCCAGGCGCGGTGCTGCCATTCCTGGCCTTTTGAGGCCCACGGGCTGGCACACTCTCAGCAGCCAAAGATGCCCCCTTGGGTCACTCACATGCACTGTGTGGAGCAGGTCGGCCACCAGGCACTGCTTCAGCTTCTCGTCGCTGCTGGTCCCGTGGAGCACCAAGTCCGGCATGTAGGTGGGGCAGTACCCCGCCAGCAGAGAGCGCCCAAAGTTTCTCACATTCAGGCTACTGATGCTCTGAGACCTGGGGGGGAGGAAGAGGGAAATAGTATTGGCCTATTTACACATCCGATTGGAAATGTCTGCCTTTTCCTGCATGACAAGTGGGATAAAATCTTCCAATTACTCAGTCACGGTCACGGTCCTCCCGTTATTCATCGATTTGCTCGAGCGGGCCCAGTAACGTCTCCATCGTGAGACTTGTTGTTACTGTGTATGGCATATCAAATACATCACGGGTAGCTTGCCAGGCTTTGCTGTGCGAGCAAAATACTCTTGGTAGCTTGCCAGGCTCTCCGAGAGGGGCGGAGGAATTGAACCTGGCTCGGCCAAGCCGGCTGCACACAAGGCAAACGCCCTACCACTGTGCTACCTCTCCAGCCCTCCAATTACTCAGAATTGGAAAAAAAGAAAAAAAGAAAGAAAGAAAAGGAAAGAAAAAGGTGGTCTGTTCAGGCAATCGGCTGGTAAGTGGGAAGAGAAATACAAGGCAGAGGGGATGGGGGAGGGGCACTGTGGTGATGGAAGGCTCGAGGCTTGTGCATCCTCTCAAACACCCACCAGGCAGAGAAGGAAGAAAATGCCAGGTTGGGTCAAAACTCCAGCCTCCAGAGCTCTGCAGAGCTTCATGGGGTGGTGGCCGGGCCAGGGAAAGAAGAAGGAATCTCCATTCACAGTTCCCCATCATTCCTAGAGCAGCTAATCGACCCGATGGTGCGTTAAGGCCGATGGCTGCTCCCCGCCAAGCCCCGTGGCCCAAGCAGCGGGAGAGGTGCTGTGAGACAAGTGTGACCCACCAGCGCTGAAGCCACGCACTGCCCAGGACAGGGAAGCCAGGGCCCCCAGAGTGACACCGGGGCTGCAGAGGGACCCGCTCGTCTCCTTGCACAGACGCTCACCAGGCTCGCTGAAAGATCGGGTTTGGTGACACTTAAGACATGCTGGCGGGGACTGGCCCACGATTGGAAGCTTGCCACAAGTGGGAGGGTGGGGGAGGGCAGTTGAGGTAGAGAAGGGAGCACTGTGACAACGGGAGGTGGAAATGATCACGGTGCACAAGAACTTGAGTGCTGAGAGCAGGTAACGGGATCGACATGATAAGCTCTCAGAGCCTGGACTGCAAAACATAAGGCTCAGAAGGAAAGAGAGCGAGAGAGAAAAAACAAAAAAGATGAAAAGTTACCTATCATGGAGGCAGGCAGGGGGTGGGGGTGGCAGGAGGGAAACTGGGGACATGGGTGGTGGTACAACTGGTGACAGGACGGGTGTTGGGACACTGTGTGACTGAAACATGATCATGAACAACTCTGTGGCTGTGTATCTCACAGCATTCCAATAAAAACAAACAACCCCCCCCCATCCTGCCAGGGGTGGGAGCGGAGGGGGATACACACACACACACACACACACACACACACACACACAATCAAACAAAGGCCAGTGTGGCAAACCTCTGGCAGTCGTCAATGTCACCATGGAAATGGGTGGGTTGAAGGGAACAGCACCTGGACCCAGGCCACCACTTCCCAGCCTGCCCATGCCACCTCACCGTCCAGTCGGCCAGCATTACCTCGGCAGGGGCAGCTCCACTTCTGCAGCTCCTTCAGCGAGGTCACCAAGGCCAGGGTCCAGTGGGGCAGAGGCAGAGGCGTCATCATCACTGTCCCCCAGGGCACTGTCCGAGCTCTCGTTCCGGGGCATGTCCCTGGCCTTCCTGGTGGCCTCCCCACGGGGGACGCGAGCGGCGGCTGAGAAGCCCGTGTCCCGCTGGGCACACCTGCGCGGGGCGGCCACCGACTGTCCCCTGGCCTCCTGCATGGATATGCCTTGGGCGGCCTCTGGGGCCGCTCCTGCCGTCCGCTCCCTTGGGGTAGGCTGGCTGGGCTGCCACACGGCATCGGCGGCCGTCCCAGTCCGAGCGCCACCGTCCTCGGGGAAAGGCCCATCAGGTGCACAATCGCACCTGTCACTGAGTGCATTCTGCAGGCAGGAACCGGCCCGGCCTGGGGTGGCCGCGGGCTGTGGTCCCTGGCCCCGCAGCAGCGCCTCCATCTTCCGGGCGCGGCTCTCCAGGTCCGACTCCGGCGAGATGGAGCTGCCGATCTGGAAGGTCACCTTCTCCACGGGCAGCGCCACCTGGGGACGCCAGTCTGGGCAAGGCCGAGCCCCTGAGCGCTCTGGGACTTTCTTGGGCAGGTCTTCTCGGTGGCCCTGGCTGACAGTCTGCAACGGGGTGGTCCGTCCTGACACCCCTGGGGACTCACAGCTGGGGACCCCCCCGGCATCCTCTGGCCCTGCCTCTTGGGTACCTTCCCCACAGAACACATCCCAGAGTTTCTGAGGGTGGCCAGGCTCTGGCTCCGAAGAGCCGGGGTCGCAGGCCTCGGCGCTCAGCTCCGGCCTCTTGTCCCCTTCTCTGTCGGCTCTGGGGCACGGATCTCTCGTGTCCGCGCCCTCTGAGGTCCCAGCTGGCCCCTCGGGCCCAGGGGTGGGCGGCAGAATCGGGGGGAGGAGGGCGGGCTCGCTCCTCACCGTCACCACCACGTACTCCGACTCCTCCACCTCGCCCCTCTCCAGGGCGGTGGTGATCTTGCTCCCGTTCAGCGCCGGGTCGCCGTCGCCGGGAGGCCCACTCCAACTCAGCTGGTTCTCCTGCAGCTCGGAGCAGCGGAGGAAGTAGGTGAGGACGTAGAGGATGCGCTGCACCAGGTCCTTCTGCTTGCCCACCACCACCGTGCGGGTCAGCCTGACCGGAGAGCCGATGGCCCCATAGAGGTCGCCTGCCGAGGAGAGCAGACACGGGGCTGAGGTCAGCGTGGCCAGCGCAGGGGAAAGTCAGAGGACCTAGTCCCCTGCTCGGCCTGCTGCTTCTGGTGCTTTCTTGAAGCCAAAAGGGAACCGGCCAGGGTGACCGTGCTTTGGCTCTGCCTCAACCACAGGAAGTGGGTCTCTCAGCTATAGCCCACAGCTCTGGATGCTGGGGTCCAGGGCTAGAGAACCCCACTTCTGCTGTGTGGCTTAGTTTCCCCTCCCTGCAGTTCCCCGGGTGGGCCAGCGAAAGCCAGAACTGATCACACATCAGACCAATCACGGACGGTCACTCGGAACCTACAGTGGTCGAGACTTTTCAGAGAAACCCCGGGATAATAGATCTTGGGGGCAATGCTCTCAGGATACACACACATGCGCACTCACACACACAGACACGCACACAAACACACATGCGTACTCACACGCATGTGCACACACACGCACATGCACATGCCCACACCCACACATACACACACTCACACACACACGCGCAAATGCACATGCACACACACACATACACACACACACACGTACACGCATGCACCAAGAAGTGACTGATTGAGAGGAAAATCCTTTAGTTGTGAATAATGAATTTGAGTCCCTTCTTTACATGGCAACACTTGAAAATTTCTACTGGGAAAAAAAACGCCTGATGCTTTAAGTTACATCCAGAGGAGCGGATTAGAAAGCGACCAAGGAACCACGCGCATCTGGTTTCAATGTGGAAAAAGGACCAATGTTGTCAGCGGTCCCATCAGTCTAAAGCTTTTCATCAAAAGCGTTTGTCAAATGCAGGGCCATTAAAATGGCCACATTTGGGGCTGGGGAGAGAGCACAGGGGGGTTGGCGGGGGGGGGGGGCAGGGAACGCCCATCGGGAACCAAGTTTGACCCTGGCTCAAGTGGCGAGTCTCCCCAGGCTCTGCTGGGTGTGGCCCTGGTGTCCCCAGAGTCACTGGACCCAAGCAGCACAAAGCCGCTGGTGCCTAAGCATGAAACTGGATTCCTGGGAGTGGTCCCCAGCACCCCCGCACACCATTTGGGAGCCCCCCGAAATAAAAAAATGATGACATTGATCATATTACTATTGCACTTGATGACCCTCATTCAAGTCATACTGAGATGCTAACATTAATAATGACAACCAAAAAAACCAACATTGGCCGGCAGTGCAGGCAGGGTGCTGAGGGTTTTTCATGACTTTGCCTTCTCTGGACTCCCGAGGAACCCACCCTGACCTACACACGCTTAAAAGAATGATCAGAATGTTGCGACAGCAAGTCAAGACTTGCAAGGAGGCTACATGAAGGAGAGGTGGCACATGGTAACAGTTAAAAATAAGACGTCTGGAAGTTCAGAGCCCACTTAGGATAGGAACGAGAGGGAGGCAGAGAGGCTGTCACAGCACAGAGAGATGAAACTAATTAAAGTGGTGAGGCAAGACCCAGGGAAAAAAGTTCTGAGAACCATGACAAAGCCCTTCCCCTGGGGGCCGTCAGGAAGTTCCTCTGTTCAAGCGAGCATGTTCCCCAGGGGAGGGCTCTGCTCCCCAGAACAGTTAAGGCAGGCCAGAAAGCATCAACAAGCACAGACTTCGGGATAATGGGGCATTATCTTTCAGGCTTCAGCGACCGATTGAGAAATCAGCTACACGCAAAAGAATAACCGAGTTATAACTGATGCCAGGCCTAGTATTTCTGCGTGAGAAAACTTTCTTGGCTACGAGCTTCTGACGGTTATTTCCCTATGATTACATCTTGCCCACTGTGACAGGATATCAAGGTCACTCCTGGAATTCATGGGAGGGAGGAAACCAACTTTAACCCAATCTCCACGTTCATAAAGATAAGCATCACAGATCCAAAACCTGGCACCCCGAATAGCAATATCCTCTTTTGAGCTTTTGATAGTGTGTGTTTTAATAATTACGCATGTGGGAAAAGGTAAAAGAAAGACGAAGACAATGTAATTTATATCAACTTAAATTACGCGATGCGAGTGCTGTATGCGGGAACTGGGCTGTTACTTGAGGGTCAGATTTCATAAAATCATGCGCCACTTAACATTTTAAAAAATCAATCCATAGTCTAGATGTGCTGGCTCTTGAACAGGAAGTCAATTTGTGCGTCCTGAACTGGCAAAGTTACTGAGGACAGATTCCTTCGTAATCACCAGTAAAATTTTATAAACTGAATTGCTCTGAAGAGACTGAATAGATATTACAGGGCTGAACTTGGATTAGGTGGTGAAGGTGAAACATACAAACACTTTAAGAAAGCAAGGGGTAAAAGGTGTGTGCAGGTGAGAGCCTTCACGAAACATGAAAGCAGGAAGGATGAGCCACCTTAGCTAGGGCCAGGAGACCCACAGGGCCTCAAGGCATAGAGGCCCCCCACCCAAGGAAGGAGCCAGGGACAGAGAAATTAGGGATGCAGGGAGGAAGAGAGGCAAACAGAGCAGGGTGGAGAAAGAAAAAACACAGGGAGTAGACAGAGGTGCCAAACGCCAGAGAACTGGGCCTGAGAGAAACTGGGCAAACACGTGTGATCCCCGGGGGAGCCAGGGAAGAGGAAGAGAGTGAAAATACAGGAGAAACAGTATAAACGCAGAAGGCAGAGAGGGGAGATGAGGGTATGGATGGAGAGGAAGTGAGCCGCTGAGAACCTGGAGGGAATGGCTCTGGTGACAGCATCAAGGGTGATGGAGACAGAGGGAGAAAGAAAGGGGGAGAAAACAGAGAAGGGTGGAGAGGAAGGCCTGGCCTCGTCATTCTATTCCCACCAACAGTGTGTGTGATTTGCGGGGTGCTCATTTTCACTCACTCCGAACCATTTTTCTAATTTGGCACATGGAGCACTGTTTGACTTTGAGCTCTTAAAACATGGAAGGCTGGATTTTCTTCTAATCATTTTTTTTTCATTTTCTCATTTTCATTTTTTTTCCCCACAATTTCAACTGTAGTCGACATAATGTGATGTAACCTTCTGAAGAAAAACAAGGCGGAACTGTCAAGAGTTTTGAAACTTGTGTTAATGTGCACGAGGGACCCCTGTGCTTTTCCTAAGGAGTAAAACCTTTTCTGCTTTTCTCTGAAGCCACCGGCATCAGAAAAAGACAAGCTGGAACTCCCTGCACGAGTGGTCTGAGACAGGCTTTCAAGCTGTGGGTCCCCATCCCAGGTTTTCCTCAGCCTCACCTGTCGTCTGAGATAAACAGCTGACAAAATGGGCATGTGCTCCTCTGATATTTCCAATTATATTGGACCGAGACCCGCTAAGTGGCTTCCGTGACCTCGACCAGGCAGTGGCCACTCATGGGAAGGTCGGAGAACACACCAGGCAGAGGCTGAGCCGAGTGTCACAGGGACTGGCTACATGAGCTCGTGTCCCTGCCCAGCAATGCAGAGAAGCAGGAGGAAGTAGCCACAGCAGAGGTCTCTGTCAAGCCTTTGAAATGACTCTCGGTTCTTTTCCATAGCATGTGAGCCTGCATTAAAATTGCATCTGCATTCTTGCTTATTCAACACTGTATATTCGGCAACTGATATTTTCCATTTATTGCTACCAAGAGTATCTCGCCCGTATGGCAAAACCTGGCAAGCTACCCGTGACGTATTTGATATGCCAAAAACAGTAACAAGTCTCACAATTTGTTGTGAGACGTTACTGGTGCCCGCTAGAGCAAATCGATGAACAACAAGAGGACAGTGCTACAGTGCTACTGCAATGTAATGACTATTTACTGCTACTACTACTGTTATCAAGTTTTGGAGTCTGGGTTCAAATGACAGTCACATGATTGTATATTCCCAGCAACTGCTTTTTTCCTACTGACTGTGACTTGCAGAATACTTACTGTGGCTGCTTCTACTACTGCTACTAGTATTATTACTGTTACTCAATTTTTTTTAAATCCTGTGGTGTTCCCCCCCCCCCCCCCGAATAACAGAAACAACTATCCTTTCAATCTGGTCCTCCAAATTGGTCCTCACAGGCTCCGGACCCAGCCTCAGCCACTCACTGGTCTTGTCAACGGCCAGACTGGCTTGCTTGGGGAAGGGAAGAATCAGAGACTTTCAACAACACGTGCTGGCCCCTGACAAAGGACTGCAGATCACAGAAGGGACTCTGCCCTCTTGTCCCATACACATGGCATAGTGGCTCTCGATGAACTGAATTTCCAGGGAGGAGCCTAGCTAGTGAATAAATAAACTTCTCTAACACAATGCCCGCTGCTCACCTAGCACCGTTTGTCAGTGGGGGGACGCAGCAGAACGCAGTACCACTTCCTCAGTACTCAGCCCCTTGCCCTGTAACACTGAGCCACAGTCTCAAGATACTGCTCCGTAACGGGCGCAACCATGCTGTCTTTCCCCGGGAAGAACTGTGTGCTCAAGTGAGGTAGGTATGCTCTGAATTTTTCCTCAGCCCAATATTGATTGGTTGGATTAAGCCCCTTTGAACCATCCAAGAAAATCTTCGGCTGATTCATTAACATTCACCTACTGTCCCCTTAGCCACGAAATATGTGTTCTCCTTCTCAGACATTTCATAACCCAGGACGCCAGGGCAAAACATCTCTGCCATCCACAAAGCGAGGGCTGAGGTGAATGGTCCGGCCTGAGAACATAACTAACCTGTGTGAAGAAGCACTTAAGCACATGCTTGGCTCACCGCGTCAGCCACCGTTCCCGCGCTATCAGCGTGCTCTCCTCGGCCTGGCCCCTGCCCCCCGGCTGGAAAATGCCATTTGTCACATTTCCTTCCTTAAGCACTCCCCACAATTCCCACCCTTCCCCTCACTCTCTGTCTCTCTCAGGGCTGCCCTAAATAGTATTTTCATCCGCAACATAAATAACAAATGTGTTCGTGAGAACTGATTTAATTCCCACTGCAGCGACGAACTATTTATCAGCCTGTTTTGATGAAAACAGACGCTCGGGAGGTCAAGTCACTGGGCCCTGATCGACGGCATGGAGCTGGCGCCCACGGCCTGCCCTCTGCGTGGCTGCGCTGTCTCCGACTGACTTCAAAGGAGTCCCCTGACGTTTCACAGCCAGCCGCAGACACAGCGGACGCCCAAAGCCGGCAGAGTGCTTCTTACCGTCACCACCCGGCTCTCACCCGGGGCCGGTTCAGACTTAACATGCCTGCTGAGCAGGAACTGCACCTCTCCCACCCGAACCCCGACATGCAACTGGGGTGCCAGACTCCAGAACCAGCAATGACAAACCTGACATTCCTTCACCGTGCCAAAGGGTGAAACTCTGGAAATAAATGCCACCAACGAACTGACTGGAAGAAAGCCGTGGAGAAAGAGGCAAGGGTTTCCAATTTAAGCAAACACTCAAAAGGTGGTGATAATACAGTAGACAGGGTATTTGCCTTGCACACAGTTCCCCAGCATCCCGTATGGTCCCCTGAGCACTGCCAAGAATGATACCTGAGTGCAGGAGTAAGCCCTGGGCACCGCCGGGTGTGGCGCCAATTATTTTTTTTAAGGTGATAAAATGACAGCCTTTTCATTTTTTCTTTAATTTTTTTTCCTATTCGGTCATCCTGCTGGGTCCTCAGTTGGGGGGTAGCACACCCTATCCGTCTCAGGGGACATGCAAAACATAACAGGAAAGGAGGGAGGCGGAGGGAGGGGAAGAGAGAGAGAGAGAGAAGATAGGAGAAAGGAAGGGAGAGAGAGCAAGAAAGAGAGGGAGGGGGAGAAAGGAAAAAGGAGAGAGCAAGAAAGCGGGAGAGAGGGAGGGAGGGAGGGGAAGAGAGACAGAGACAGAGACAGAGAGACAGAGAGAGCATGAAGAGGATAAAGTGCTTGCTTTCATGCGGCGGGCCTTAGTTTGACCCCTGGAACCCCCGGTCCCACAGAGTCAGGAAGAAGCTCCAAGCATCACCCAAACCACCCACTCCCATCTCCATGAAAAAAAGCAGAGGACATCCATCCCCTGCCTCCCCCTCCCATCTCTACATCTACCCCCCAAACACACAAAAGGAGGATTCACATGTGAAGTGCTACTACGGGATGGCTAAAACCAACCAAGGCTTCGAGCGTTTTCCCTAACGCACCCCCAGACAGTTTCTGAACAGCCCAATGAGGTACGAACCCAGCTGTGCCCAGAGAGGGTTGTAGGGGTGCGTCTTGGCCAGCGTGTTGACCGAGTGAGAGGTGCGCTTCTCGGAGAAGGCTTTAACGGGAGGGTGGTCGACAGGCATGACGGTCGGGACCCAGGCCAGGTGGTAGGTCAACACTGCGGTCAGTAAGGCGGCGAAAAACCTAGTGGCGACAGAGGAAGAAAATACGGGAGTGGACGCCAGAAGAGGTATGCAGCCCGCACTCTGCGTGCGGGGCACGCACCGGGTTCGCAGGAGTCGGAGCTTACTGGTTTTTGTTGATCTGTTCGATCAGGAAAGTAAACTCCTTGAGAAATCGCTGGCAGAGCTGGGTTTTTTCCAAAGTGCTAGACATCATGGTAAGCCACACGGGTTCGGCTATCCTTGGAACCGAGTATAAGTTCCAGATAGTTCCTCTACAGGACAGAAAGATAAAGAGACACAAAAGTTTCACACATATGATTGGATATCCTATATCCTTTAGCATAAAAGGGTGATCATTAAAATTAAAAAAAAGACAATAATGTGGATTGATGTGGCAATCCTTCATGAAATATTTAAACCACAGAACAACAAACCCTCATTTTCAGGTAAAATCTGTCACCATTCTTGTATAAAGTTTTACTGAGTCGGGGGAGGGAGACAGCGATTCCTGACACTGCATGACCCCTCAAGCCCTGCTGGGTGTTCTGCTCAGGGCTGCCCGGGACACACTGCCTGAGCGGGATGTCCAACACCTGCCTGCCCTTCCAACATCAACACAGCAATCTTCCCAGTCACCTCTTCTGGAGGACAGGCTGCTGAGGCAAGAAAAAGCCCTGCCTCCAAGTGAATTCATTATCTATAAATTCCCAAACTCGGACCTGGCCTCCAAGGGGCACACAGGGTTCACCCGCACGGAATTTAAACATCACCCAAAAATGTTTTAGCAGTCTGAAGAGTAGAAAAGACTTGTGAATGTCACACTCACACTCAGTGGCATTTGAAGACTACCAGGGCTACTCTTAGGGGTGTAAAGAGGGGTGTGCGAGCGGTGCAGGGCTTGAACTCGGGGCACATGCTCAACCCTGGGAAGGCTGCCCTCTCTCTCTTAGGAAGCAATCCTCTGGCTCATTACCCCCTGACTCCTTCACAGCGGGATTTGATTCCCCACTGAGAAAACAGGCTCTAAGAAATGGTTCCAATGATGGGGATAGAGCGATAGTACAGCAGGTAGGGTGTTTGCCTTGTTGACCCAGGTTCAATCCCCGGCATCCCATATGGTCCCCCAAGCATCATCAGGAGTAATTCCTGAGAGCAGAGTCAGGAGTAATCCCTGAGCATTTCTGGATGTGACCAAAAACAAGGAAAGAAAGAAAGAAAGAAAGAAAGAAAGAAAGAAAGAAAGAAAGAAAGAAAGAAAGAAAGGGTACAACGATCCCTGCTCAATCACAGTCCGAAAGCAGCTCACCTCTGACCTGAAGCATTGAGCTTTCCACCCAGATATCACGTGCCAGGACTTCGGGAAAACTCTGCAGACTACCTAGATCACTTAGGAACCCACAGCGAAGGCACACGAGAGGGATCACAGAGCGGGAATACCTGACACTCACAAGAGGACACCGAGTGGAAGCCACAACTGTCTGAGCAAACGGAAACATCTCTGCCCCTGACAACGGTTCATTTCCCCCAGCCGCTCGCTGGGAACCTCCCAGCACTGACAGCCGCACAGTGTGGGAGTCCTTGATAGTTGAATCTGGCTTTTGGCTCCATCTGATCCCCGCTTCCCTTAGGGCTAAGGAACTGGCAGCTCCCCGCCCCCTCCACGCTGTGGGTGTCACTGCTACGCGCCCAGAAATGTCCCCTGCGAAGGATGTGCCGCACACCGTCCGTTTACCTGAATTCGCCCAGAGCTTCCATTAGACGGCTGACATAAAACTGGACGCGGAGGCTGGATTCCGCTATCTTCCGACAGGAGATCATGGCCTTCATTCGAAGAAAAGACAAGTCAAATCACTCACTGAAATGAAATCCCGCTTTAACTCTTTACGGGGCTTACTGATGACATGAGAGTACTACAAAACCAAAAGTCTCAAGGTAGGATCACCAGCAAGCACTTCCTTTCCCAAGGCAATGCAGTACCTACTAGTTAAATGTCAACACACTAGCCTCAAACGTTGTCCGTGTTGCAGGACAGTTTCCCTTCTCAAGGAAAGTGACCTGACACATAAAACAGCGACACCATCTTGGGGGCAACTCCCAGTGGTGCTCAGGGCTTACTTGTGGGCTCTGTGCTCAGAGATTGCACCTAGCAGGCTTGGGAGATCCTAGAGGGTACCGGGGATCAAATCTGGATGGGCTGCCTGCAAAGCAAGTGCCCTAACCATTGTACTATCTCTCCAGCCCCAAGATGCTCCCATTCTAAAAGTCCCATGACTGCTTCTCCAAGTGCCACTTAACGACATTCTTTGTTTTCATTTACCTTTTCAATTGCACTCTTCAGTCTGTTCATGTGAGACTCAAACAGGGGGAAATGAGAGAAAAAGAAGTCCTGGAAATTCCTCTGTGCTTCCTCTTTCTCACACAGGGAAAAGATGATGCTAATTGCAATTTTCTTCCGCCGAACTATGGCTGGATTAGAACTACACGTTTCCTCAGCCAAGCTGAACGTCTCATCGATTGACCTAGAGGAAAAAAGAAACTTAAAAACAGCTGCCACGTGCCGATGGAAAGGAAATGAAGTGGCTGAGACTGATGCTTGGTGGCCCTGGGATCACCTTCAGCACATTACACACACACACACACACACACACACACACACACACACACACACTTCAACCCCCCCAAAAAAATCCCAAAAAACACTAAACCAGAACACTCAGAGAATCTTAAGCAAAATTTTATCTTCTTCTAAGTAGTACTCGTCTATAAGGCTGTTGAGAAAAATAAAAATATCAGCTTGCCACATAATATTACCCTAGTAAGAAAAGAAACTTAAGTTAAAACTAAAGCAATCTCAAATGTCCCCTTGTTAGGTTCTAAGTCCTTAAAGCATTTTATATCAGATTACAGGCATTTAGAAAGGGGGGGAGGGAAATGAAACATAACTCTTCCATTCAAAACAGAGGCCTTTTATTTTCTTGATAGACAAACAGAGAGATAAGACAGTCAGAAGAGAAATTATCCTACGTGGTATTCTGTTTAATCAAGGTAAACTGAAGTTTACTTTTCCAGGGCAATTAAGACCATTAGGTGAGTTTACTTCTGTAAATGCTCAGATTAAGCCATGCGAGTCAGTAAACTCTGGCATATCCTTCAAACAGAAAGAGACACTTCTCTTCCTAGCTAATCAAGTTCTCCAACAAACAAAAAATCCAAAAACTTACAACTCTTTCAAAATACTCTGTTCCTACAATAAGAGAATTATAAAGAAAATAAATGTTGAGTCAATTTTCAATTATCTTAATGGGTAAGCCTCACAAATATGGCCAAATCATATTTGACATTTAACTGTTCCAAAAGACCAGCGTTACTACCTTAGAATTTCTAACAGCAAGTATTTTTTTTATACAAAGACACCAAAGAAAAGGACATATTGCAAGTGAAAGCATGGGGTAGATACACAATATTTTTTCTTTGGTTTCTGGGTCACATCTGGCTGTACTCAGGGTTTAACTCCTGGCTCTGTGCTCAGGGATCACTCCTGGCAGCGCTTGGGGGATCATACGGGATGTTGGGGATGAAACAACAGGCCTTGACCCGTGCAAGGCAGGCATCTGTATTATCTCTTTGGTTCCCATTTTCTCTTCCTGTAAACGTCAACATTTAGCCTTACATTTCTGCCAAATATGGGAAAATGCTGCTTCCTCCATTTTTTTAAAAAAAACTGTAAACAATAAAACAATTATTTACGCTTGGCAGAATTCTTAATCCTAAACTTGTTTTCTTTTGCATTACTCACCATCTCTGTTGTTCCTCTAGATTTAGACATATCCAAAAAACACCCACCTATCAAACTGTTATGGCCATAAAAGCTATTTTATCCCCCTTCCAAAAAAATTGGTTGAGACAGGAGATTTAGGGGTTACACAGGGCAACAATCGGAAGGTCCCATCAGCTCTGTACTTGGGGATCACTCCTGGTGGTACTCAGGGGATACCACTAGCCGTGCTGGGGCAGACTTGGATCCAGACACATGCATAGCAAGTGCCCTCACTCCTGTGCTCACTCCACTGCAGGAGAGCGATTCTGATTTTAAAGAAAAGGAGCTAGACATGTTGTTCTAAGCTCAGAGTGCTGTTATTTACCTCTACTGGATGAAAGATGAGAGAGATGTGAATGCGGCTGGGAAGCCAGGAAATCCAGGCTCTACCTATAAGCCCGCCTCGGCAGAAGGGGTCTCTGTGTTCTGCCACACTTGTTCTGCATCGAATGCACTACAATAAAACAGCAAGGGGGCTGGAGCGATAGTACAGAGGGTAGGGCGTTTGCCTTGCACACAGCCGATCCGGGTTTGATTCCCAGCATCCCATATGGTCCCCTGCACACCACCACGAATAATTCCTGAGTGCAAGAGCCAGGAGTAACCCCTGTGCAATGCCGGATGTGACCCAAAAGGCAAAAATAAAATGAAATAAAATAAAATAAATAAAACAGCAAGGTTTTCTTTGAGAAATCCCAGGCCCGAATAATCGGATCCTTGGGGAAAAAGGCTCAAGATTCTACAGTTTTAAATAATTTCACAAATGCTCACTCTTTTTCCCCAAACCACCTGTATTATAACTTTGTTCTCCTACATGAGTTCATTTTTATTGCATATGGAAAATGGGAAGCTTATACACACCAATACTTTCTAACAATTCTTTTGGTTTTGTCTGGTACTTTATAGATTTCTTCTTTTTAAAAATGTAGAAAAACAGTGCATTCATGCAATCTTTAATAATCAAATTGTAATAAATATGAACCTGGCGCAGGGTTACACCATTCATGACCTATGGACCAGCTCTGCTTTAGCATAGCAGAGTGCGCCACCTACCGAACAGCTAAAAAACTGCCATAGCTTAATATAGCATGACAATTTTGGGTCGACTGTAGAATTCTAAAGCAAACCAGCCTAGTTCTGAAGCCTTGTACTAACCATACAAATTCGAATAAACCGAGTCATGTGATATTATAACTTTTATGCTTGGGTCCACATCTGAATATGCTCAGGGATCACTCCTGGTGGAGCTCCGGGGACCTTTTGTGGTGCTGGGGATCAAAGGGCAAGGCAAGTACCTGCTGTACAATCTCTCTGGCCTAGTGTCAAATTTTTTAAAACTTTTGTACATGATATGACTGAAATCCAATCATGGACAACTTTGTGACTGTGTATCTCACTGCGATCCAATTTTTAAAATTAACACAAATATAAAAGTAAATAAAAAACTTGAGTACCATGAGGGTTTTGTTCGGAATGTAAAGATTTTAAATATCAGTCTGCACCCAAACACTGTGCCCTAACTCCACTCTCTAGGCGCCGGGTAAAGGGACACAGATCACTCTGCAAACAAACAGAAAGCAGCTCAGAACTGACAACAGCACATAGGAGCAGAGTGAGGGGGTCTGCTTCAGAGTCAGGAGGCTTCCCAGGGACAGCGCCAGGTCCAGATCCGCATCCCTGTCCTTGAGTCTCGCTTTTTTCTCAGATGTTAAAAATGATCGAGGGACTGGAGAGATAGTACAGTGGATAGGGAATTTGCCTTGCATACAGTTGACCCGGGTTCGATCCCGGGCATCTCATCTGGTCCCCCAAGCACCACCAGGAGTAATTCCTGAGTGCAGAACCAGGAGTAAGCCCTGTGCATCGCTGGATGTGATGCAAAAAAGCAAAAAAAAGATCAAGTGGTTCGAGGAGGACACACATCTAGCATATGTAAGGCCAAGTCTGATCCCCAGAACTGTGCAGCCCCTATTTAACTAAACAAATGAATGAACAGAGAGAAGCCCCATTCAGCAGAGTATGGCCCCGTGCCTGATCCACCTGCAGGAAGGCATGCCACCAGCTGCATCAGACCAGCTGGGGCAACAACGTCAGCTGAGTGGGAGACCAAGGGACTCACCTGACAGTCAAGGGGAGGGCGGGCCTTAGTCCCATATTTAAATTATAAAAAAAAAAAGACTGTTGTAGAGACTTAGGAACAAGCATTTACATATTTTATGAATATGTACATGTCATTGAAGACCATGATTACTTAATATGCCTTGCATTTCCATATGCTTTCCATGAAATTTCTAACTCCTATGTCTTTCGAACTAAGTCAAAGCAACCCCTAGAAGTGAGGCTGCTTCCACAGACAGCGGGTGAGGGCGACGGTCCTGCAGTGTCATCAAGCTGCCTACCGGGGACCTTTTCCCACAAGAGGAAACCGTCAAACTCACCTCCTTGGAATGATGCCGTTTTCCAAACTGGTGGTCTGACTTCGTAGCCAGCGGCGCTGGTAGCTGCTGGAGGAGGACGTGGAGGAGCTGGGCGACGGGAAGGGCGTGATCAGGAGACTGCTCAGCGAGGCTGCGGAGAGGGAGGTTGCAAGGTGAGTCCTGGGGCAGCGCCACCCTTGCCAAGTAAAGGCCCAGCCTCTGCCCGACTGATCCAGCAGAGGGAGACTGTGACTGCTCTTTCCGGAGCAACGCCTGCTGGCCGCGGGGTAGAGACCCTTTTCCCGGGGAAGACCAATTACAAGTCGCGGGCATTTCAGACACAGCAGAGGTCTGGGTGAGCGGGGCGACATGTGACAGCTGCTTACTCAATCAAAGTACATATGACAGGCTGCTGAGGCCGGCCTCCTGTTTATATTGCTACCTGGTAACTGAGATCACATACAATGTTTACTCACACAGATTTCCTCCCAGCGATTGCTTCCTTGCTCTGCATTGTGAGGTAAAATCTAGAAACAAGTATTTCCTCCTTACTGGGTCTACTCTCCTGCCCCTCCCCCCACCTCCAAATACTCAGCCTCCTTCCTCCCCGCTCCCGGCTATAAAAGAGGATCCTCTATCTTAAATCTATCTTCTGCTTGGATTACTTTATTTGCCTCCCAGCTTCTTGGCTTCCTCCGGCCCTTGGGTCCCAGTGGAGTTATCACGGCCGCCCAGACTCCTCACAAGCGGGGATAAAAGGGCTCAGGATGGGTAAAGGGTTCTCCTGCCCCTCCCCTGGGCCTCCCCACATCAGACTTCTGGGTTTGGGAGGAGAGAGACTTTTTCTCATTTTCCTTCTCTTGCACAAAGGAATTCAACATGAACACGTAACTCTACAAAGTGGAGAAGGAAAGAGGGTTCTAGTGATGGCTGCCTGGTCACCATTTCCACCAGCAAATCTCCGAGCAAAGGGAACTGATTTCAATAAATTTGGTATACAAGCGATTCCGTTTTTTATTTATACTTTTGTACGCAGGTGGACATAAGCTGCCTCCCTAAGCTGAGCCTTCACAAGAGTCCTCACAAGATTTCTGTGGCTCTCAGGGAGTAACTGATAAGCAAATGTGGCGTGTCTAGTGGTCCAGGCATTCTGCTCAGCGACGGGAATACAGAAGTGAACAGACGGACGCTGTCTGCTTTCACGGGGATTCCCACCGATAAGGACAGCAATGCACTTCCTGGGGCACTTAATTGAGATGAATCACAAGTCAAGATTTTCCCAGAGCAGACAACTATAAGATCCATTCCTTCTCATCTGATCAATGGTCGTAAGAATTCCCTGGTAGGGCACAAAGTGTCTTTGTGTCCCTTGTCTGCAGGGTAGCAGGCCAAACATTTGCCGCACACACAGCATGTACTCGCGATGTGGTAAACCTACGCACATACCTGGTGTCAGTCTTGACTTCAATCTCCAAAGTCACGTTCACATTTTAAGTAGCAGAGCATGGGTAATTCTATTCACAATTTGGGGAAGTTTGTTTTGGGGCCACACCTGGCAGTTCTCAGGGATACTCTAGACGCAGGTATCATTTCTGGTGGCACTCGAGGGATCAAATAGGATACTGGGGATAGAACCAGGATTGGCTGTGTGCGAAGCAAACACCCTAACCACTGTCCTATCTCTCTGACCCCTGGAGTGTTCTTTCTTTTGAAGGTGGAGCAGTGGCACCCCGGTGGTGGCCCAGATTCCATTCCTACAGATTCGAGCCCAAAGGTTCAGTTCCTGTGCCTCATAGTGCTGGGCGTTGCGGGGCTGCTATGCGGAGCAGGAGACAGGTAGAACCTGCAGCCTTGTTAGATGCAAGTCACCACCCCCACTGAGCCATCTCCCTGGTCTCCACGGACAATTCTGAAGGGAGAGGAAAGAACTCCTCAAAGTCATATGACAATTACTTTAAGAAAATTCCAACTGACCTTTTTCGCTTCTATCCCCAAGTTCTCAAAGCCTCTTTACATGGTCAGGAAGAGCCTCATTCCCGAATCATGAACCTCCAGACTCACACTCTTTCTCTTTCCCTGTCTCAACTTTACAAACCAGCCTCTGAAGGGGTGAAGGACAGGGTTGAAGGGTGATGGTGTCATGACAGAAACATCCTTCCTGTGGGAAGAAGTGAGGTCCTGTGCATTCTGCATCTAGAGTACCATGGGGCTCATCAGCATCACTGTAGAATTCTGTGCAGTTACATGGAGTCGGGCACTAGGCTCCAGGTTAAAAGTCTAGCTCTGCTGCTCACCAGTTAGGACACTGGTCATTGTACCGAACCTCCTGGCCAGCTCATCTGTGAAATGGGAACAGTAAAGGAATGCGTAATCGCTCTCTAGTGGATCAGAAACATCATTTTTTAAAAAAGAAAATAATGGTATTTTTATAGGATTAATAGCAACTGATGAAACTTCTATTTCTCATGAAGATGTTTGTTACTGGATCATGATGGGTTGGAGACAAAAGCAAAACTTGAAAGAAAACCAGCCTATTTCATAAGGTTCCTAGGAGGATCAAACATATCAGGACAGGAAGTGCTCAAGCCAGTGCCTGGACAATACATGTTTTTCACTCCCTCAGACAATTTCCAAGGAAATCTAAGAAAGCTATTTCAGAGTACTAAATGGTAACTTGTTCTGATCGGTTAATAATAAAAAAGAATCAAGGTCTTGTGATAGAGACATGTAAAGGGAAGGGAAGTAAACGGAAAATAATTTTTGAAAGCACAATGTTGTTTTCCTCGTTATAAAATGCTGGAGGGTAGTTCTATGGGTCACAAGTAAAATACTAAAGTGATGATTTGATGCTAGTTAACTCTGCCTCATAGACCTACATGAGGACATTTTGTACCATTTTTATGAACTTTAGGAAACAAGAAAGACACAATACCCACACTGAGTGCATCTGACTGCTGGTGAGCACCAGTGTCTGAAAGGCAGCACTAGATTCTGGGGTGCATCACAATAACCTAAGAAGCTTAAGACCAGAGCTGCAGCATCACTAAGTCAATGATGGTTGGAGGGATCGTGAGGGATGGGAGATGTGTGCTGGAAGTAGATAAAGATCAAACGTGATAGCCTCTCAGTATCTGTATTGCAAACCATAAAGCTCAAATGTAGAGAGAGAGAGAATGATGGAAACTGTCTGCCATAGAGGCAAGGGGAGGGTTGGAAAGTGGGGGTATACTGGGGACATTGGTGGTGGAGAATATGCCCTGGTGGAGAGATGAGTGTTGTATGACTGAAACTCAAACATGAAAGTTTTGAAACTGTATCTCAGAGTGATTCAAAAAAAAAAAAAAACAGAGCTGCAAGAGCCCTGTCTGGGTGATTCAGATCCCAGGGCAGGTTACCCCAGCTCTGCCTCCAATCAGCTGCGCCTCAGTCCTCAAAATGTGCCACGTTTGTTGACTTATTCACAGGCTCCTTTTCAGCTTTACATGTGCAAAGTCTAACGCTCCTTAGTATTTTTAGTATCACTGTGCTTTCCAGAATACTTTGACAATGAGGGGAGAAATGTTAATACATGTAGATTGCCAAGATTTTTTTTCAATGCTGTACATTAACAAATGAAAGTTAGTCAAAATTAAAGTTAGCCAAAATCAGATCGCATATCACTGTAAGCATGCCCCTCATTTAAAATAAATTTAAAAAATAACCTATGTTTTCATCCTCCCCAACATCCTTCCTGGCTCAGGGGTACCCACTTATCCCTGAGGAAGAAGTTCAAAGGTATGAAACCTGCTGACTGCTAGCTCCTGGCCTCTGTCACACAAGATAGGTGTTTTGCTTTCTCTAAAAAGACAAAAAAAAATGCAGCAACTGTGGCTCTTTTGAGAGCTTACTAGAAACCCTGAACTGATGGGACATCCCAACCAAGACTTCAATATCGACAAGAGCCAGTCACCCTCGACATAAAAAGTACCAGCTGACATGGAGAATTAGTTTTAAGATCAACCAGGAATTTCTCTGGTGGAACGGGACGAGGAGCTGTTCGCTTGCCTCACTCAGAAGCCTGCCAGACTCAATCAGAACTGACAGTGTGGCGGCATCGGAGGGTCTCTGCCCGACAGCTCACACTGTAAAGGAGAGGAAGAAACACAAGCCCCCAAGGAACTGCATGGTGACCACAGAATGTGGAAAGGCACTGGGGTGAAAAAAAAAATGCTGGGGATAAAAGATGTGGCACAAAAGTCAAGGACCCAGAAGCTATGACACTGTCTTCAACAGGATGAGTTTTAAGGCTGGCTGACAGGCTGGTCATTACAGCAAATGAGAAGCAGGCAGCAGGGCTATGGTCAGTACTCAGTGCAAGGACACACTCTGGCCAGAACACTAGGCTTAGACGTGGCAAATTCATCTCACCTGTGGACAGGCATTGGGGGCAAGGACAGGGCGACTCACTCTTCCTCGTCTGTCTCTTCTGTAGTAGGGGCCAACTCTGGACAGAGTGGATTCCCCTCAAAACAAAATACCCTCATTTTTCCTCATCACATTCCAGATCCCTTCCAATTCCTTTTATATGTGTCTCCAGAGCCTGTCCCCACCTTAGGTCTCAAAACTCACTCTACCAACACCAAGAAGCCCAACACCACCGGCATTTGTCTCAACCAACATTTCATCTTCTAAGAGAAGCCTTCCCTCAGCATCCTCGATGCTTTCTTTCTCTAGGACACATGTTTGCCTATGTGTTATAGTCTGTTACCTGTGTTTTCTTCCTTCATTTACATATAAATTCCATGGGCTGGAGCGATAGCACAGTGGGTAGGGTATTTGCCTTGCATGCGGCTGACCCGGGTTCGATTCCCCCACCCCTACTGGAGAGCCCAGCAAGCTACCGAGAGTATCCCGCATCCACGCAAAGCCTGGAAAGCTCCCCATGACATATTCGATATGCCAAACGCAATAAGAAGTCTCACAATGGAGACCTTACTGGTGCCCGCTCGAGCAAATCAATGATAAACAAAGGGAGGACAGTGATACAGTACTACAGTGCTACCTGTGTTTTCGTCCTTCGTTTACATATAAATTCCACGAGATCAGGGATCTTTGATTTGTTTACTGATTTCTCCTCAAAACCTAGAAAAACATCCAGCTCTGAAGATGCTTAAAAACTGTTGCTACACGAAGAACAAGCAAATGATTCTGTGAGGAATGGCGGTATCTTGTTTCACTCAATAATTATGACAGACAAAAGCATTAGAGAAACAAATTTCATAAGAGAAGCCAAAGTCTGACTTTGTTGAAATAAATAAATAAATACAAGTTCCTGTGGTCCAAGTTACAAGTCCGGCATTTCTTTTCTTTCCCCCAACAACGTCCTTTCAAAAAACTTGGCTGTTGCTTCCTGGGGGTGGTGTGGCTCTGACTGTGAACACAACTTCTATCTGACCCCTCAAAACACAGTCCTGACCTCTGTTCATGCTCGCACTGACAGCTCTTCTCTTACAGCTTTTGCTTACATGCTTGGAAATATAGAAAGTTCCCTAAAGCTTAATAGTTGTGCTTCTAATCACAAGAGAACAGAAGTATCAAAAATATTAATCAGTTGAGTTCTATTTTTTTTTTGGCGTCACACCCGGAGATGCTCAGGGGTCAATCCTGGCTCATGCACTCAAAAATTACTCCTGGCGGTGCTCAGAGGACCATATGGAATGCTGGGAATCGAAACCGGGTCGCCACGTGCAAGGCAAACACCCTACTCGCTGTGCTAATGCTCCAGTCCCAAGTTCTAATTTTTAATGGGAAATTTTCACTGTCAAACATGGCAGTAAGGCAAGTCGAATTTTTATTTACACATTTTAATTCTCCAACTATGAACAAGTGATTTTAGAAAGGGTTCTCAAAAACATTATAGGTACTTTACACTTTAATAGAATTCCTAATTAACTCTGAACTAAGGGCTGGAGCGATAGTACAGCGGGTAGGGTGTTTGCCTTGCACACGGCCCATCCAGGTTCAGTCCCGGGAATCCCATATGGTTCCTCAAGCACTGCCAGGAGTAATTCCTGAGCGCAGAGCCAGGAGTAACCCCAGAGCATTGCTGGGTGTGACCTCCCCTAAAAAAAAGTCAAAAAATAAAAACAAAAATAAACTCAGAAGTAAAAGGACCAATAAAATGCTCTTACTACTCTGATTTCACTTAAGTTGGCCTTAATTTTTGAAAGTTTTAGGCTATAGCAAAACTAAATGGATGACAGGGATTTCTCAGACAGTCCCTGCCCTCCACTCCCATTAATAGCCTGCCCTGATTATCAACCCCCCACTAGAAAGGACCCTTTGTCACACTGATGAACCTATAGACACATTATTATCACGCAGAGTTCATAGTTCATATTAGGTTCATTCTTGGTGTTTAATGTCTTGTGGTTTCAGATATAACAACATGTATCCAGTATTATAATCTAATACAGAACAGTCACTTAATCAACAAACTGATGAAAGTAACGACAACAAATCTCCATTCCAGGATGATACCAAAGGTCCAACCTGATCTAGGTGAAGTACAGAGAAAGTGGCAGAACTCTGCTCGATTTGCAGTACTGGCGGCCAAGTTCATCTACATAAGATAAAGCAAAGACACCAAGGTAACACCCTGACTGTTCCTGACTCTGCAGCATGCCTCTGGGAGGGGCAGGGTGGAAAGCTCAGCAGAATGCTGGAAGTGACGAGAACGACTCTCCTGACAACTTTGGTGGTGACAGGGAAGTGAGTGGGAGCAGACCGGGAACTGCTCCCTGCCCAGTCTCACAGGCTCCCAGAGAGGCACCAGCTGTGCTGCCAAGAGTCAGATAAACCCATTCAAGCCTTTACAGATGGGCCTTGCCACACACAAGGTCAACAGGCTCCACAGACAGCAGGGAAAACCCGATGTGCCCTCTGAGCTCTCTCCAAAGCTTATCATAAGCCGCTGGGGGGTTTGGGGCCACCTGTGAAGTCCTTGCCTCCGATGGTGACCCCTGCTGTGACAATGAGCCTCACTCCAGCATGCCGCAGTCTGGATGTGTGCTTCTCTTGATGGTGAATGTTGAACCACTTGTATGATGGTGACAACTAAGTTCCCGGCCCTGGTCTCAGTCCTGGTCCTCGTAACCTTGCCCAGGCACCTACGCTCCAAATACCAGCTGACGCTTCGACTCGGCCCTTAAGCCAGAAGGTTACAGCCCACTACTCACCGCTGGAGAACTCTTAGAATTCAAGAGAAGGATCTAAGGAACGGTTCTCTCTGCCTGCCCTGCTCTCCCTGCTCTCGCCGATGCTGCATGGTCTCCACTTGCTTCCCTGTTGGAAACCGGCCACCACCTCACTCAGAGCTGGTTGCTGTCCATCCCTCCCTTTCACTTAGTCTGGGCCCCTCTACTCGTCTGATTCTCAAAGGACAAGGAAAACCAGCTTGGTGCCAGGGGTGTGGGAAGGGGCACTGTAGGATCAGAACTGGAGCAAGACTGACATGTACAGCTGTGAACTCCTGACCTCAATTACAGTATAAACTAAACACCCAAAGGAGGAAAATGCACACTTCCGCTTGATGTTTCTATTGGTATTACTGGGTCACTCCTTGTCTCTCTCAATCTTTTCTCTCAGGAGCGTATGTATACGTATACACATGCTCTGTGACATCCTGCTCCACATGAGCCCCAGGAGAGTGTTAACTAATCTTCCTTTCACAAAGCAGTCAAGAGCTCATGCCACATGATGTCACGCTCATCACATTCTCCAGCCCCTCGAGACAGCCGTGCTGACTGGGTTTGACTGAGCTCCACGGTGCTTTCCACAGTTATACTGATGGGTTATTGCGGAAACACTTTTCTTGCCTAGAAATTCAACCACAATAGAGCCAGTCCTCTTGTAGAACTTTACAAGGGTAGGAGGCAAAGCTGGCATCCTCAGGGCTCACACAGAACCTTGAGGTGACTGATGTACAAACCTGGCTCCAGAGCACAGCCACTGCCGCGACTGAGAACACCGCAAGCGCCCCACAGAGAATGGGAAGGGACTCTGTGCCGTGGAACTACACAAGAGTGCCAAGAGCTGAGATAGCCGGCCACGTCCCCTTCACGAGCAGCAATGCTCCGTCCCAACTGTCGGTAAATGAAGACGAGACAGGTGTCCTCAATGAAAATGACATGTTTTTGCCTGAGAGTTTGGTGCCCAATAAGACAGAAAATACTACAAAGTGTAAAATTTATTTAACCATAAACAAAATGTGGTGCCCTTGACATTGCGTGCCATGGATAAACTCCAAGGGGATTCGGTACAAATCACAAGTCATTTTTATCAAATGGAGTTTTATAGATGGGGATGAAGGGGCTCAAGGATTACTCAGGAGAAACACAAGGTCCCTCCGGGCTGTGTCAAGTGAAAGGATCAGAAGGAGAACTGATGGAAGGCCAGGAGGAAGGGCACCCAGGGGCCCGCCTGTGTGGAGTAAGCGTGTGTCAGGGGACACCCAGGGAGCCCTGAGATTTCAGAGGAAGGCAGAGGTGAGCTCCAAGGTATATGCTCATCAGGCAAAGCCACGGAGCCCTCTGGGGCCTCGGATTCCAGAGCATCCATTCAGGACACTTCTTGTGTGCCACAGAAACCACCTCGCCTCACAACCACACACTGGAAGCCAACAGCAGAGTCAGGTACAAAAGCGGCAACTGAGCGAGCCTCAAAGCGCAGGGCTAACAGGGGAGAGAAGAGGCATCTGCAGGACAATCTACTGTGGTCTGGTCCCAGAGAAGGAGGGCGGTGACCGGGTCACTGGCAGGTCTTCCTGCGGCCAGGCAAAGACGTGCTTCCACAGACTTTCCTTGCTCTGATACGTTTGGTTTGTGTTTATCTGGGCGTTACAGTTAGCTGCACTCAAGTCTGACTCCCGGCTCTGCGTGCAGGGTCACCCCTGGCGGTTCTCAGGAGACCACATTTGGTACTGGGGATTGAATTTGGGTGCGCTGCATGCAAGGCAAGTGTCTTACCCCCGGGGTCTACCTCTCTGGCCTCGCTCTCTGTTATTTCTTTATTTTTAAGTTTCTTTGCTGGTGCACTTCAGTGGGCCTCACAATCGTGAGGCACACTTGTATCGAGTTTAGGCTCCTTTCCCCAGTGTTTTTGATTTTTTCCTAAATAAAATCCACACACCGCAGAGCTGGGGGGGGGGGGGTGGGGCGGGGGGGGGTGGCAGAATGGCTGCAGGGTGACAACGGCTGCTCAGCCCTGAGGGGGAGTGTGGCGCTGTGGAACACAGGTCTGGCATGCTGTGCTTCTTGGGCTCAATGATGATCAGGGTGACACCCGGGTGGGCGTGCAACGCCCCCAGAGTCAAAGTCAGGATCTCACTGTCACATAGGCGGCGCATGAGCTTGCTCCCAGGCCCCTGCCCCACCCTTCTTTTCCATTTTTATACTCAATACTCAGCACACAAATTCCCAATTGAACTGACGCAAAGAAACTTCCCCCTGGGGAGGAAAAAAAAATTCTCCATGGAACAGTCTTATACGATTATAGGTATCTGAAGGAAGAATCAATTTTACAGCGCAGTTTTTCCTAGATGTTGAGCGTCAAAGTTCTGGATCTTCAGACCTGTGAGACTACCCCGGAATATGGAAAAACAAACTCCCAAACACCAGATGATGACTCCGATCTGTTTTGTCTACTTTCGAACCATCACATCCTTCTGGATGGTTCGCAGCTGAACCAATGGAAGGGTCACCTACCTGATCGGGCAATGCCACTGTCCCTGTCTTCATTTTGTCCTCTGCTTGGCATGTCAACCGGGGTGCTGTGTGCTGACAGAAAGGCAAAAGGAAACCATGTCATTGGGTTTGCCAGAGAAGGGCTTGCTTACAAATGTCATGATTTTTTTTTCATTTCAAAGTCTGCAACTGCTGATGATTTGCATAAATTCACAGAGAAATTAACCAGAAAGCAAAATGAAAAACATAAAAGGGTAATAATGGTGAGAGCAAGAAGAAAACAGAATCATGCAAACATCTCTCTGTAATTTGCCTACTGTAGCAAAAATATTTTTTGAATGTTGTGCACCTCTTTAGAAAAGGAATAATAAACTATTGTGCTGTTGATGAAATGAATATTCACGGGAAGACATTTCGGCAATTTTCCTTGCTACTGTTCAAATTTAAATTGCACTGCACTTTCAAAATGCTTTAGGATCCCTTTCAGGAGTAGCTTCAGGCAACTTAGGGAAGAGAAATACTTGAAAATGACCTCTTAAAAAATGTTCCTGTTTATAAACCCACTCTCTCAGGAGAGAGAAAATACTCATGTTCATTTTCAAATATTTCTTTCTCGACTGCTTCTCCATATGCAACCCTGTGCAATTTCAGTGCCGAGTTTTTGAGAAAAACTGATCCGTTAGGGAAAATTTTAGAAAATACTCTGAAGTAACAGTAGACTTCAAGGAACACTTCTGATTGATCTACAGGATATAGTGGCTGAGTAAGAGGACCGTGTTGCTATATAAACTTTAAAATCTACAAAAATCCCAGGGCCCTGCCTCCCTATTGGTCAACACTCTCTTGAAGCCTGCTTCTTATCCTGATTTGAAAGCATCGATGAACATGCCTGACTCCTTCGAGAAGGGAGGAGGGTGCTGGTGTCACTGGCGTGTGAGGTAACTTGGGTGAATGAAGAGCATCACTTCACACAGACACAACCTTTAATGTTAGCAAAGGAGGCTCCCCATTCTTGCGCATCATGCCAAGACTACGCCATTCTGAGTGAGAAAGACCAAGAAAGTCTTAGGAGGGACCTGCCCAGAGAGAACCAAGAAGCAGCATTTTTCAGTGACTTCCATGCGAGAGGAAGGGGTGAAGGGGAGGGGGCCAGGGAGTGAGACCTTCCATGCTTTTATTAGGGTGACTTCCGAAGGATGTATATGCAGGGAAGGACACACAGGCGAATGCGTGGATGAAGGGACCAGAGCAACGGGGTGTGGTTCACAGCGGCAGAAAAGGCCCAGGAAAATAAGAACACACAATCCTCTTAGAAACACTAAGGGCTCATTTTGAGATGGAAAGCAGCTTACACTGGGGTATTATTACCAAAGACATTTACAATAGAGGTTTCCTGGTGGAATTTTCAAAACGACACACAGTTGGCTGCATTTGAAACCAATATCGCAAGAGCCCCTTGAATTTCTAAGAAGGCACAAATCGGATTTTTTTTTCTCCCGAAGAATTGGCATAGAATGTATTAATAAGTGTGTGGGTCACACTGTGCTCAGCATTCCACACAAACCTGCAAAGAAAGAAGCACTCCGGGTGAGGCGGAGCGGTCCTCCGTCAGCCACCCCCTGCAGCAGTTTGCTGCTGCAAGCCTGCAACAGACCTGGAGACAGACAGGTGGAGGGCGAACAAGAGTACACACACACAAAAATAAACAAAGATTAAAGATAATGCAAAACAAAACACCAAAACACCGCAACAAACTCAAATAAGGCAAAACACACACCCAACAACAAAACGTGACAGTCGAATCAAAGAACCCGCTCCCGGGTGACTGATTTTTACCTAGGTTACTTCCAGTACGACAAGGACCCAAATTATTCTGATTTGCGCTCAGTTTTCCCATATTAGGATCCTGGTTGATGGATTCAAAGCTGTCTTGCAAGCTACATTCAAAGAGGGGAGGAAAGGAGAGGACAAAAAAAAAAAAAGTCAAGAGATGAATAAGGCTGTTTGCCAACAGGTACCCCGATGTAGACAACTCACCAGTGAATGATTGAACTTTTGTTTGGAAATGAATAAGAACCACACCTGCCAAAAGGACTTCAACTTCCGGGAAGCTGATCAGGGGAAAAGACAAGCTCTGGAGAGGTAGTACAACCTTTAAAACACACAATCGTGTGTTTTATTTTATTTTTATTATGATTTTTTTTTGCTGCTTTCTTTTTTTGGGGATCACACCCGGCGATGCACTCCTGGCTCATGTACTCAGGAATTACTCCTGGCGGTGCTCAGGGGACCATATGGGATGCTGGGAATTGAACTCGGTCACGTGCAAGGCAAACGCCCTACCCACTGTGCTATTGCTCCAGCCCCCAACAATTGTGTGTTTTAAACACACAGATAGTACAGGGTTTAAAGGCACTTTGTATGTGGCCAACCCCAGTTTGACCCCTGGTACCATATATGGTCCCCTGAGCACTTCTAGAGTAGACTCCGCCACCAAAAAAATAATAAAACCTGAAATACATTTGGCAGAGTGAGAGTTAAAAATTAGATACTAGTCCTCTTAGTATTCTTAGTCTGCAGAGAAACATAAAATCAGAAGCAGAGAAAGCTCGGGCATGGAAAATAAAAATATTTTATGTCCCAAGTATCAACCAACTAGAGAGGCTATACTGAAGGCTCAAAAGAGAAGCCAAGCATAGAAAACCCACATGCCAGACAGGTGCTTATCAGCCTGGAAAAATGCACTTCATATTTCCTTTAGAAATAAACAAATATGCAAATAAGTTTTTTTAACGAAAATGATAAAGGTGGGAAATACCCAAACCTCATTAAATATGACCCCTCCTTTTGTTTCCCTATATTTTTCATTTTTCCAGAGGATGAAAACTTGGTGATTGGTCATAGGAAAGTGGGGGAAACAGATGGATACAATAAAAAATAAAGTCCATGAGGTCACATGACAAAGGCAAAAATGCTTTTTCATGCTCATTCTGAATGGGAAAAATGCTTTTAAAAAATTGGTTTGGTGGGGGCTGGAGCAACAGCACAGAGGGTAGGGCGTTCGCCTTGCACGTAGCCGACCCGGGTTCGAGTCCCAGCATCCCATATGTACCCTGAGTACCGCCAGGAGTAATTCCTGAGTGCATGAGTCAAGAGTAACCCCTGTGCATCGCTGGGTGTGACCCAAAAAACGAAAAAAAAAAATTGGTTTGGTGGGCTGGAGTGATAGCACAGTGGCAGGGTGTTTGCCTTGAGCGCAGCCAGCCCAGCCGAGCCGGGTTCGATTCCTCTGCCCCTCTCAGAGAGCCTGGCAAGCTACCGAGAGTATTCAATATGCCAAACACAGTAACAAGAAGTCTCACAATGGAGACGTTACTGGGCCCACTCGAGCAAATCGATGAACAATGGGAGACAGTGTTTGTTTGTTTGTTGTTTTGGTGGACCTTTATGACTTGTTGAAGTAATTATTACTCTATTCAGAAAGAGCACTTTGAGGGCTGGAGCCATAACCAGCGGGTAACAAGCGATAATCTTGTACACGATCTACGTGGGTTCAATTCTCAGTATCCCACATGGTCCCCCGAGCACCACCAGGAGTAGTTTCTGAGTGCAGAGCCAGAAGTAACCTCTGTGTATTGCCAAGTGTAAAGCAAAATAAAAGCACTTTAAATAAAAATGAGAGGGGGGATCCCCCACAGGAACAGAATCCCACACTTACTTATTTGTACTCCCACAGAAACTGCCCATTCTAGCAGAGAAGACTTTACTAATCATCAGTTGTGGAGGAGAACTGGGGAAGAAAAAAAAAAGTAGGAGAGATGTAATTTTGGATTGAGGAGGCTACAACTCATTCTACTCCTCACAACCAGTAGAAAAGTGAAGCCCACACTCACCGTATATAATGTATCTTTAAGGTAGAGCCTTTGTAACTCATAGCCACGGAGCCAAACATCATTTCCCCCAGCATATTGACGTCAGAAGCTGGTCTTGTGTACTGGCCAGGGCAAAGAAACCGAAATCAAAGTCAGTATGTTCCCTGAGGAGCCACGGAAAACTCCCACTCATTAATCTCTCGGCTCTGCTTTATCTGAATGGGTAATTCAAAACTATTTCTCAAAGCAGCCATTGATCTTATTACAATCATAATCAACTGTGATGATGGTCTTTATCAGCCAAATTATTATTAACGGGTTCTTCTTCGTGCACAATACAGAGGAGTCTAGCGCTATCGTAATTCATCTTTAATCTAAAGATTCTCATTTATAAACTCGAAAGATTAAACTATGAAAGAAACAGGGTGTACTTGGTACTAAGAATATACCCAGGAAGAAATATGGTTCAGAATTATCTAAGCAGGGCTGGAGAGATAATATAGCAGGTAAGGCTCTTGCCTTGCACACCCCAGCCTGGGTTTGATTCCCTGAATTCCATATGGTCCCCCTGAGCACTGCTAAGAGCAATTCCTGAGTGCTGAGTCAGGAGTAATCCCTGAGCATCGCCATGTGTAACCAAAAATAAAAATTATTCAAGCAGGGGCTAGAGAGATAGCACAGCGGATAGGGTGCTTGCCTTACATGCAGCCGACCTGGGTTCGATTGCTCCATCCCTCTCAGAGAGCCCGGCAAGCTACTGAGAGTATCCCACCCGCAGGGCAGAGCCTGGCAAGCTCCCCATGGCATATTCGATATGTCAAAAACAGTAACAAGTCTCACAATGGAGGTGTTACTAGTGCCTGCTCGAGCAAATCGATGAACAATGGGAGGACAGTGCTACAGTGCATTTCTCAATAACCCTAATCCATACCCTCTAATACCACACACACACACACACACACACACACACACACACACACACCATAAAAAATACTACTAGCCTTCTATCCTTCACAGTCAAGTAAAGTCATGCCATTTCTTTTTCCTTCCTTCTACTTTTAGTTCTCCTAGAATGCCTATAAGCATCCTCACATTCCCCACATCCTCGGAGCTTGTATGACAAAACTGGGAAAATACCTGTTTATTAAATTGGTTCTGACCACAAAGGAAACAAAACACGACGGCTTACCTCATCTGCAGCCAGTTCCTCGTGAGGAATGTCATTATACTGGAAGGCTTCTATTTGTTCGCAGTTTTTATTGAGAGATAAAAGCCCAAATAGAAAAACACTGGGCGTGGGGCACACCCAGTGGTGCGCAGGAGCTCTTCCTGGCTCTGGGCTCAGGAGTGATCAGTGGAGGTGCTGAGGGCACCATAAGTAGTCCTGGGGATCTGAACTGGGAAAGGCAGGACACAAGGCAACCAACCGCCTTCACCCCTGTACTATCCCTTAGGCCCAAAAGTGTGAAAACACTTCAAGGCACATTTATGATCAAAAGGGGATGAATCTAGCGGTACTCCGCAACCTGGGTTCACGCATAGTGATGCTGGGGGAAGGGGTGTGTGTGTGTGTGTGTGTGTGTGTGTGTGTGTGTGTGTGTGTGTGGAGTGGGGGGTGGGGCTAGGGAAGGAACAGGGTACCACCAGGGCCACACTCAGCAATGCAACACACTGGGTGGTGCTGGGCCCGGGTATGCGGCACGTTGACGCCACCCACTGGGGCATGCGCTCTAACCTCTTGGCCCAGCCCCCTGACTCAAGGGCACCTTTTTCCGCCCCAAACTACTTCTCAGCACCCTGCAGGAGCACAGCCTCCAGCCCCCATTCTTCCCCACGGAACATTCTACTAAGCACCCAAAGTGAGCGTGCCCCGCGGGGTACTTTACCTGGTACCGGGGGAGCTGCTCCCGAGCGTGCTGTAGAGATCCCCCGGACCCGTGCGACAAAGAGAGGCTGCCGCTGCTGCTGCCACCCGGGCAGCAGGTGATGGGGACATCCTCGGTTTTCTGGCGGGGACAACAGGGGCCAGGAGAAGCAGTCAGTGTCTGCAAGCCTTTCTCCCCCTGGAATCCCGTGCCAGCCGCACCCCACAGCTGAAGCCCTCTCCCCACACGCCGTGCCCCCCTCCCCCCCACTTTTTAAGAGTAACAATAAAACACGGTTCCTGCAATTCTGGAATATTTGGATGGGGGAAAAAACTCACAGAAGTATATAGACAGAAGGTGCTAGGTTCAAAGTAGATAAAGGAACAAATATGATAACCTCTCAGGGTCTGTACTGCAAACCATAATGCCCCAAAATAGAGAGAGATTATGAGGAACCACGTCTGCCATGGAGGCAGGGGGAGGGTGGGAAGGGGGGGTATGCCAGGGATATTGGTGGTGGGGAATGTGCACTGGTGGAGGGATGGGTTTTTGATCATTGTGTGATTGTAACCCAAACATGAAAGCGTGTAACTATCTCACGGTGACTCAATAAAATTTAAAAAAAAAAAAAGAAGGTGGTAGGTTCCGTTTTAAGCTTTGTTCCCCCAATTAATGACTGAAACTTCATTTGTTAAAAATATATTTTTAAATATATTTTTGTATTTTAATTTATTTTTAGTAATTTATTTATTGGTTTTTCTTTGGGGGGGTGGGGGTTCACACCTAGCAATGTTCAGGGGATTACTCCTGGCTCTGCATTCAGGAATTACTCCTGGCTCTGCATTCAGGAATTACTCCTGGTGGTGCTCAGGGGACCATATGGGATGCTGGGAATCGAACCCAGGTGGGCCGTGTGCCAGGCCAATGCCCTACCCGCTGTACTATCACACCAGACCCACATTTTGTATTTTAATATCAGCAGTGAGATCTAATCTCTGGGCTGTTACAAGCTTGCCAGTCAATGTGCAGAACATTAATCCATAAAAGCCATGAGAAATAAAGTGGCAATCAAGTTGAAATGTCTTACTGCTGGGGGTGGGAGGGCGCACACACCTGGCAGTGCTCAGGGGATGACGTGGTTTCAGGAATTGAACCCAGGGCTCCTGCACATAGAGTCCGTGCTCCAGTCTTTGAGCTTTCCCTAGTCCCTCAAATTTGATTTTTTTTTTAAACCCAGTAAGTAGAACTAAAAATGAAGCAAAGCCGTTCTTTTGGACGGAATGAGTCTGCCCTGCTTTGGAGGTTGGGGGGGGGGGGGGCGGATGGCGGGGAGCAGGATGCTTGGGGTCATGGAGCCATAGCTGCAACTCATCGGTCGGGCGGTGCTGGGAGCGGAATGGGGAATGAGCATGAGGGGCCACTCGCTCTGGCTCTGGGCCGTCATCGCTCTGATCCCAAGCTTGTGTTTTCAGGGACACATGAATGACGCTTCCCTAGCGCTCCTTGACGTGGGGCAGGAAAGGGAAATCACGAGGGCAGCAGGGCAGCAGGAGCCACTGTGCTGTGGCATCCTGAGAGCAAGCCCGAGGTCCCTCACTCTGCACACTGACTTCCGACATGCATAAAGGCACACAGATACGCCTTGGCGACTTCTCGACGTCCTCCTGTACCACCGAGCATCCTGCTCTCCCTCAGAAGCGGCCGGTCCCGCTATACCAAGTTGATTCTGCTGGGAGTCTTACTGGTTTTATTTTGCCGCTCTGGCTTGGAACAACATGAACTTGACCTACAAACTAATCTCACCTCCCCTGCAACAGTATGGCATGGTGGCCCAATGCAAACACCATTTCTTTTAGGCTCCACCAGGCTCCAGGTCTGCTGAGGCAGCGGAGGGCTGAAAATGGTCCAAGGACACAGGAAAAGGCCAAGCACGCTGGCACACAAAGTCACTGCGGCCACAAGGGCCAGCAGGCTGGGCGCTGCCCAGCATCGAGCACTTCCTCCGGGCTCCTGAGATCCAGTTGTGAGTCAGCACAGGCCAGAAACACAGTCTGTCAGGGGTGAGCCACGGGGCGTGGCAGAATCACACATGGCCTGTCAGGGAGGCAAGCGGTGTGAAGCGCACACCTGCCCCACACGCCTCACAGCTGGGGCACAGCTGGCTCCATCTCCATTTCCAGAGAGAGCCTTGGGCAACTCCCAAACTCCCAGCTCCTGGGCTACCCTTTGGTCAAATGAGGTGTTTCTGAGACCACTTATGCCCAGCCTCCAGCATTGTCATAATTCTAGTACTCTGAAGAATCCCATTGCAGTTCCTTTGGGAAATCCATGAGAATTTTCTTTCCCTTCGCTCCTTACTTTTTCCTAGAAGCTCAGGGGTACTCTGGGGTTGGGGGTGGGAAGGGACTGGCCCTTGGAACCATCTGCACAGGCCTTGAGGGAAACAGGAAATGATGCTGGAGATAAAGGTGGAGCCACTTCCTGTCCGGCAAACAAGGGGTCAAGTGCATCTAAAGTCTGATACAAATCTACTACAGAGCCCCACAGGTGATATACCTGAAAAAAATTCTCCTCCCCCGCTGCCAACAAGCCCAACAACTATTGTAATAATTAGCTACTTGGCAGAATTCCACGTAGGGCACTGTGAAATCCGCCCAGCTAAACTGCCTTGAACCAAACAGTTCCTTCCTGGAGAGATGATCCTTATCAAATGAAGGAAAACAGCCCCTTCGTACGAGACAAAGACCGTGGTATAACCCATGCACTGATTTCGCTGTGCACCCCACAAGCTCTCAGATTTTGGTCAGGAGAGGCAACAAGCTACTGGATAGAAAAGGGGGCATCAGTGGCAGTCTCTAATTTGGAGGCATCTAAATAACTATCACCGAGAATGAAAGGTCTAGAGGCCATGATCTGGAAGGATCCTGCCTTGATGGACGCCCTGAAATGTTGGAAGGACTAGACCCAACTTCTCTCCTGACCACATCCCTTACTCTTTCCCATCCTGGCTCCAAAGGATCACCCAGAGCAGCTCTGCTCTCCCCCTGCCCCCCCTGCCTAGCCCCAAGACCCCACAGCCAGTTTTTACCTTCCACCAGGAATTAAAAATAGCAGCTTCCTTGACCTGACAGTTTGAGAAACACTCTCTTTGAGTCACACCCAGCAGCGCATAGGGGCTAATCCTAACTCTGCGCTTAGGAGTGACCCCTGGCGGTACTTGGAGGAATATATGTGGTGCTGGGGATTGGAATGGAGGACGGCAGGATGCAAGGCAAGCACCTAGCCCTGTACAATCCCTCCAGCCTATGAAACGCTCTTTTGGAAGGTGGCAAAGTGTGACAGTATACGAAAGCTCTATGAGTGAGAAAAGTTATTTGATTAACTCGGTGCAGTGTGTTTATTTCTTACTGTGCCTGGGAAACACTGGGCAGAATGGTCTACCGACCACCCTCCATACTAATACATTTTAAAACTTTTATAAATTTTACAGTCCTGTTTTCCCACTACATGGCCCCCAAATCCTACTGAACAGCCTGCAACTCACCGGCAACTTCACCTCTAGTCACAGATATAACAGACTGCTTAGCACCTGGCACTATGACTCACTACGGTCTCACCTGAGCATATTAATAAAAATACATATGAACAGTGGAGGTTAGGAGACAGCCTTTGCTTATGCTTCTTCTGAACCATTCACAGCACCATATGAAATAGCCCAGCGGGAAGATTATGGATGAACTTACTGACTTATTGGTCAGAGAGGTGGTTAAAAGCACAACCAAAAGGCAGAAGCCGCATTTCTTACGGGAGTTCCTACCTCTTCGATCTTGTGGACTGCTTTGGAATCAAACAAGACTTGTCTGCCTCTCCTTTCACAGTCCTGGTAAACGATCAGGCGAATCTCGTTCAGGTCAAACTCCGAACAGGACCAACTGTGGGTGAGGAAGGGAGAGAAGAGTTAAGTTATCTGCAGTGGAAACCCAGAAGTGCATTTCCCAGTTAGTGTGCCTCTCTGGCAGGGAGCAAAACAGAATGGGGGTTGCCAACGACAGCTGATATGCGGCCTTCCAGGGGCCACGAAACAGTCCGGGTCTCTGAGCAAGGCTGTGAAGACTACCTTCAATCACCTTCAATCACCTGTCACCGAAGAGAAAGTTTCTCCTTCCGAAGCCAGTTTGGACAAAGACAGCCATGGAAGGAGCAGAGACAAGCAGAGAGAAAGGAATCTGGAGGTTCACGTTGCAGAGCGGGCACCCTGGGGTGCAGCGGTGCTCAAGCCTCTGCCACTGAGCAGGGAAGCATCGGAGGCATCAGCACCTTCTCTCCTCACCCATCTGCCCATGCGCCAGCCAAATAGAGAGGGTATCTGTCTCCAAAGGTATCATTGTCCTCTACTAGTCTCTATTTATCTTCCTCTGATGGAGAAGTTTTTGACAACCGACCACTTAAGCTTAGTATGCCTACGTTGCTAAAAATGATTAGCAAAGGCAAAGGAAGCAAATCTTCCTCCTCAGAAAACCAAAAGCTAGGGCCTCGAATGATAGCACAGCAGGTAGGGCATTTGCCTTGCACACAGCCGACCTGGGTTTGATTCCCAGCATCCCATATGGTCCTCTGAGCATCACCAGGGGTAATTACTGAGTGCAGAGCCAGGAGTAACCCCTGTGCATCGCCGGGTGTGACCCAAAAAGAAAAAAAAAAGCAAAAACTAAAAGCTACTGGGATGAAATGGCTCTAAACATGGATCTATTCCTTTTGAGGGGGTGGGGAGTATACCCAACAGTGCTCAGGGCTGATTCCTAGCTTTGTTCTCGGGATCATTCCTGGTGGGGTTTGGGGAACCATATGGGGTGCCACTGATCGATTCTGGGTTGGCCGTGTGCAAGGAAACTGCCCAACACACTATCTCTCCCGGGCGGCAAAGCCTGGCAAGCTACCCGTGATGTATTCAATATGCCAAACACAGTAACAACAAGTCTCAAAAATGGAGATGTTACTGGGCCCGCTCAAGCAAATCGATGAACAACGGGAGGACAGTGACAGTGTGACTATCTCTCCAGGCCCATATCTGTTCTCAGTCACCTAAGACCACAGCAAAGCCTACTCTTAAGACCACAAAAAAGGGACCGGAGCAACAGTACAGTGGGTAAGACATTTACCTTGCACGCAGCCAACCCAGGTTTGATCCCCAGCATCTTATATGGTCCCCCAAGCACTGCCAGGAGAAATTTCCTGAGCGTAGAGCCAGGAAGAACCCCTGAGCATTGCTGGGGGTGACACAAAAGGAAAAAATAAAAGAACACAAAAAAGGTATCAGTTAGCGGAAGGTGCAGGAGAGGGGACTGGAGATGGCAGAAACGGTGATCCACTGAACAAGAAGGGGCTGAGAATTCAGGGCTGGGTGTGGGGAGGGCAGTGCCCACTGGGAAGGGGTAAAGAGGGACTCCCCAAATCCACGGTGTATCGCAAACCAAGAAGCTAATAAAAACCCTCATTAAAAGAGAGCACAGACTTGCTCCCCGAGTACCAAATGAAACCAGAGCGCCTGCCCGGGGCAAATGTTCTGCTGGGGCTGTGGCCAGTTATTAGCCTCTAAAATACACCCGGCCCATATTTGGAGAGTCCGCAGCACCCCAGGCCCCAGAGTGAAGGCCAGGGCTACAGCAGCTGGTCAGCTGAGAAGAACTTGGTGCCTGTCCATGCCAAGGATGCAGTTTAATGGGAGAGGGCGAGAGGCAGGCAGGGAAGGTAGGCCGGGGTACAGCGGGGAAATGGAACAGGCTCTCCACGTTTCCGAGTGCCACCAGGCGGCCCTGGGAGGTCAGAGCCATCGGCCCTGCAAGCATGAGGCTCCGAGTCTGATCCTCGCCGGCACTCATGAGCCCAAGCTCAATCTGCTGGCACTGACCTTTGGGATCTCTGGCAAGGTGCAACCAAGGGTGAGTGACCCACCCCTCACCTCTCCACCCACTCCCCAGCCTGGCCCTGCAGCAACAAAGAGGGAAGGGGAAACAAAAACAAATTTGAAAAGCAACATTAAAAAAAAAACCAACAAACAACTCTCTGGCTGCTCTGGAAGGGAAACTGGGACAGAACACGGGACTGCGGGTGGCAGGAAGACGGAATCAAGTTAAATATGCAAGTTCAGGCCCTCAAAGCCAGGGCACAAGGTGCAGGAGCACATAAGCAGAAGAATAGGGTTTGTTCCCCAGGAATGGATGCCCCACGCCAGGCCGCTCCCCCACACCCCCAATGCAGCACCACTGGGAGGAGATGCTGAGCATTACTGGGTATATGGCCCCCGAAAACATGCAAAAACAAACAAAAAAAACCACAAAAAATAATAAGGAAACCCATGACTTGAAAGTTCACAAGGGGGGCTGGAGTCATAGCACAGCGGGTAGGGCGTTTGCCTTGCATGCGACCGACACGGGTTCGATTCCCATATGGTCCCCTGAGCACCGCCAGGGGTAATTCCTGAGTGCAGAGCCAGGAGTGACCCCTGAGCATTGCCAGGTGTGACCCTAAAAGAATCAAAAAAGAAAGTTCACAAGATAGAGACTGAGGCAGGGGTGGAGGGAGGGCTGTGTACGAGGGGTGCTCTGGGGTCAGAATTACTAAGATTTCGAGGTATGCTGGAGAGGCACTGATGCAAAAGGGAGGCCAGCTGCTCAAAGAATGCTCAGGGAAAGATGGGGGCTGAAGTGCAGATGGACGGATGGACAGCCAGACTAACAAATGCCCCACGTGAAATTAAGTCCAGTGGAAGCGAATTCACACATAGGCATTCAGAGCCAAGCGCCAGGAGCTTCCTGTTCCTTTCTTCCAATCCGCACAAGGAGAATGTTAACAACAATCTCACAAATGGCCAGGGGGATTCTGTATGGTCGGTGACTTCCACAGAGCATGCTACACTTCCGTGCTGTACTACTGGAAACTGCCTGGTACATTTATTTTTCTCTCTCTCTCTCTTGCCAGTGGTAGCCAATAACCAAATGTGGATTGCGGGTCCTTTTCCTTTTCAGGCAGTGCTGGTTAATAATGAGCATGTTCTTTTAGGGTAACAGATTTGTTTTTCTTAAATCCCTGTGCCAGAAAATATAAAGTTCTGGGTGTACCTTCTCTGACTTAACAAATTGTTCTGGGCCACCACACGCTGCATCCGTTCCTCCCGATTTTGATAATGATGGGGTAAGTTTATTTTGGAAGTCACTTTTCCTTTCTGCTGGCTTCAGAGGTGCAGCTCACGTTCATGCCAGGTTCAGGGATACAGCACGTGACCCCCTAGCAAGGCTGAGAGCCAGTCCCCAGATGTGAGTGGCTCGTCAGGGTAACTCTTAAGCTGCTGGTTATTTTTCTGGAGGACAGCAGAGGGAGGGAATGGAATAAGACCAACCCCTGAGGGCCAGAGGAGACAGCTGTTTCTAAGTGAGTACCAGCCCTGGAGTTAGGTTTTCTGCTGATTACGAAGCCCCCCCCCCCCCAAAGACCAGGAATCCACATCACATAGGGTCACTGAAAGCCCTCTGAAACGATCAAAAGTGAGCACAGAGTCTGACGTTATTCAAAGTGAAAAGGCAACGAAGATCTCATTCCTTGTGCTTTCAAACTATTTTTTCCCACCAATTTTTTTACTGAAACAGCATAGTTATTTACAAAACAGGGTGCTGAGCTCTATTTTGTGGGGGGAAACAGGAAGGATGGTGCTGGAGATCAAACTCCGATGGTCATTAACAACCTTCCCTTTACTTTTCTGGTTTGGGGGCCACTCCCAGTATGGTCCTTCGGGAAGGGCGTGGGGTGGTGGGAGAGAGTTCTTGGTGGTACCGAGGACACCACACACTGCCAGGGACAGAATGTAGGTCTTCCACATACAGAGCATTAGCTCCAGACCTTTGAGTAATCTCCCTGACCTCAAAAAAATTCTTTTGTGGTCTCTCTTGCTATTCTCATAAAAAACATATTCTCTATGTTATTATAATATAGATCTGGTTACTACAGAGTCAAGGTTTAGAGTTTGATGTAAAGTTACAGCATTTTCACCACCACTAAGCTGGAAAATCTATAAGAAAGGGATGCATTTTTAAGAATCAAATAATCTCTCAAGACTAATTCAGGAGGAATGAGAAAATCTGAACAGGCCATCATGAATAAGGAAATTAAAACATTAGTTAAAAATCTCAACAGAACAGCTCAGATCCAGATGGGTTCATTAGTGAGTTCTACCAAACCTTCAAAGAAGACTTTCTCCCCTATTATTCAATGTAGTGTTGGAAGCCCTCGCCAACAGCCATTGAGAAAGACAAAGAAATCATAAGCACGCAAATGGAAAAGAAGTTAAACAATCACTACTTGCAGATGATATGATAACATGCATAAAAGATCCTGTAGACCATTAGAAACTCTTAGAAACAATGAACCAATATAGTTAAATAGCAGGCTATAAAACCAATACACAAAAAAAATTTGCTGCATTTCTATATGCAAACAATGAACTAGAAGGAAAATAATCAAGACCATGACATTTAAAATTGTGTCCACTAAGGGGGCGTTTCGGTCCGCCCTTCACGCCCTACCGAGGCCACCAGTTGCCCCCCACTAGCGGCTCTCCAGCACGGCCATGACTCCAGAGCACAGAAACCAATTTCTTAACTATCTGACTTTCAGTATAAATACTTCCAGGGTCAATAAGTAAAATAGCAGAAATCCAAAACCAACATTTAATTCTTGAACCCAGCTGTAGAAAGCAAATCACGTCACAATGCTTTTTCAGCATGTCTGATTTGGGGGGGGGGGTAAACTCTAAATAATAGTGGTGAATCTTTTATTGAAACAATGAATCTAATCAAAGCAGATAGAGTGTTAACTAGAATTCATCTGCCCCACAGGGACTGGGAGGGGTGGGGGGTGGGGTTTTATTGGGGTTCTTCAT